TGTTTCAGAAAACTTCCAATTTATTTCTTGCAAAAACAATATATAAATGTAACTGTCACTCTGAGAAACAGGACTGCATTATGCCACAGACTTAATACAGACTGAAAGCATGTTCCCCAAGTCTTCTCCAACAAATCTTGCCAAATGGACGTCTGAAATGTCCTATTGAAACAGGTGGTGTCTGAACAGAATTGGATTTTTGCCTGTAGAAACCCTGGCTGTAACAACTGCTGTGGTTAGTTTTAATTTTCAGACTTTAAAATTAACTGCTTGCCAACCATTCAGAAATAGACTGAACAACATGTTTAGACTTTGCCCTGTTTAACTGAGAGAGGGAGAGCAGGAAAAAGGGTGGGAGTAAAGGAGGAGTGAGGTATGGAGATGGGGAAGGAGGGCGAGAGGGAAAGAGAAGGAGACAGACGGGGAAGTTTGGCCAACACGCTACCACCATCCCATGCAAATTAAAAAAAAAAAAAAAGCAACCCAGACTTCTTAAATTGTAGTTGAAAAGAAGGGGGAAGCAACTAGAAAATAAACTCAATTTCAAAAGATGCTTGCTCTTTTGTGTTTTATTCATAGCAGCACAAGAATGTAACTACCTTGCTAGACACAGAACATTACTCTGACAGAAATTTAAAATTAAGAACAATGGTAAGAATCATTAATTTTTCTAATGAAAAGTTACACTTAAAAATGATACTGCAGACAGATCTGAAATTACTTTATATATGAACAAAATACAAACACCTAGGATACTAACTCCTTAAATAAAAATACCATAGATTTATCTTGCTTAACTATAACACAGAGGTTCTTGATATAAAGAATTAAGCATCTGTCTATCTTTTAAACTAGTATTGGGAAATTTGTGCCACACACGCTGTGATTACACATTCCTTCTGAAGAAAATATTATGAAGTCCATTACACAGCTGATAAACTGAGGTTTAAAGAAGATATAATAACTTTTCTAAGATAACCCAGCTAGAAGTTAACAGAGATGAGGTTTTTTAAATTTGCCTGATTTCCAGTCTTTACCAATTGCATCAAACTGCTTCCTAATGAGAAATTCAGAAACAATGAGTTTTAGTTATGTAACATACAATAGCTGAACTGTACCTCTGCTTCACCAGTATCCACAATCAAAGCTCATTTATTTCTAATGGAGTAAGGGACACTAAAACCTTTGCATATCAATTCTCGATATGACTGCATTCCATCTACTAAGATGGTGCTAAGTGAATGAGAAAATCATCTACGGTAATCACAAATTCCTTAATCCTAATAACAGAACAACTTAAGAATTGTTGGTCGAAAAAGCATCAAACATTTCTCTTTTTTAAAAAAAAAAATGAGAGATAAACACAGAAATATCTTAGTGGAATGGAGTGTTTTTTCTCCACAAGGTATGCATAATCCTTTTGCTTATAATTCAAAGAAAATTGGTGATATCAAATCATGTCCTGGAAAGTTTATTGCTAACACTACTCCTTCCCCTTGAAAGTCCAAAAATAAATAACATCTCAAAATAAGGGAAATTTCCCTAACTAAAATAAATATAAATAGTAAACATGAAATAAACATTAATATAATCATTAATTTTATTAATATAATTTTTTTGCATTTTAAAATTTTTTATTTTAAAGAGATTAAGACAAAAGAGGACATGACAAAGCAGATCAGAACAATGTAAGCATTTCACCACAAGACAACCCATAATTAACAGTAACTACCATAATGTCTCTTTCTTTGAAATAGTTGAGCATAACTTCATATACAGTAGTATCAAACATAACAAAATAGTATAAAACCATTCAAGAGAATGAAAGTTAATAATTTTTTAAAATAGCTCTCAAGTTGTTCCCTTCCACTCCTTGATCCCTATCCTCTGTGTTTTTTGTTTGATTTTTTAAGGTTTGACAGAGATCAGGTTCTAAACCAAACCCACAATTTCCCCCAGAAAATTCCAATGAGATGTCTAATTTAGAGAAAATTACCTCCAGAGTCTTGTCAAAGAAATAATTCTGAATTTTAATAATCTCCAAAATAACACATAAACCCAAATGTACCTGTCCCATAAAGGGTTTTTGTTGTTGTTATTGCTTTTCCCCCACTTTTTAAAGAAAAGTTCTCCTTAACATTAGAAAGCTATGAGCACAAGATACATTTCTTAAGGGAAAGTACACCAAAATTTCTTTGAGACCACAAAATGACATTATAAAAAGAAATCTAGTGGAAGAAAAGAATTATCATATTTGTATGGTTCATAGAATATAAAGTAAAAAAAATCTACAACTCTTTTAAGATTCTTCTGGCAAAATGTTCCTTGGAATTATTTCCCAATAGCTAAAAAGCATTTTCCCCCCTAAGATGCACCAGCTCTAAAAACAATCTCTCAAAGTTCCAGAAAAGCCAATTTCAAGTCTTAAGAGTGCTATGTGTTTTTAGTTTAAAAGAAAAAATGAGAGAAAGAACCACAGCCAACATCAAGATACACAGCCAGCATGTCTCAAGATACACATCATGACTGCACCCAGGAGATCCACATGAGGAAAGATTCTGTTTCCCCTTTTCCCCCCTTTTACAGGTAGAACAGATGTATCTAATGTTGCACATGTAAAATTTAGGTGTAAAGGTTATAGCACTACTCCAAAACTAAACCTTTATCTAATGAAACACAGCGAAAAAGTTTTTTTGGCAAAATCAAAATGGCTTACAAGTTAGTAACACTGAAGTAGGCCATATGAAAACCAAAACAGTGGCATAAAGTCAAACATCTCAGTAAGTCAAAAAATGTTTACTAATCTATTGTTCACATATCTGGAGAAAATAACCTTAATTTTCCCATATGAAACATATAGAATCTTTGGTATTACTATGAATACAAATAAATTTTTAAATTTTTATTTTACTGTGAAATTCACTAAAATTGATCTCTTGTAGAACTTAAATGCATCAAATAATGTACACTTGGAATATTTCACATTAACTTAAAGTTGTCAAGACACAATCAACATGTAACAGGAAAATATCTATGCTTCAAACAGCACTTTGAATTAAAAAAAAAAAAAAAAAAAAAAAAAAACAAGAAGGAGAGTTAGATCACTCTGAGATAAAGGGACAGTGGCGCAAAGGACCAAAAATGGATGAGAGACTTCATCAGAATGTCTCTGCGCCACCCTGCACCAGCCACCTCCAACCTTTCTTTTGGCTTGCAACAATCTTTTGGTATTCTAGAGATAAAGAGCTTATATTAAAAAGTTCTTATGATATATTTACTTTTCCCTACAACCTTTATCAGAAGTTTGATATGCTTACGTCCCATAATTCATACAGTCCAATTACCTACCCAACATTATATTCTAGAGGCATAATCAGAAATGTAAAATGCCACCTTCATAAAAAGAAGATAATGAAGGTAATTAGGATTTATTGGGCCAGAAGATGGTTAAAGGTATAGCCACAGGTAAATGGCATCAACTCTGTGTTCTTGGTAACTATTAAAGAATAAAGTATGGTTCTTTTTTAAACAGACTCCTTAATAAATACATGTCATTAATTTTAAATGAGTGTTTTAATTTTAAAATGAGCCTTACAAAAGCCCATTTCTTCATGAAGATGCACTTCCTCATTACTCTAAGTGATAGTTCATTTCCAAAGCTGACCGACCAGTATTTATTTAACTTGCAATCTACTAGGATACGCACAATGAGAAATGAAATACAAGAAGTCCTCGCAAAACTTCAAATTCACATTAGCAGTTCGGTTGAAAGGCCAAGAGCCTGGCAAAACAGGATTTTAAAAATGGAGTTCACATAATCCAAAATGGTCACACAATTATGTACTCTCATGACAAGGTCCAAAGCTTTCCTTGAGATTCTCAAGGTTCATAACTTTATAAAGGGAAAAACATCTATGCCACATGAAACCCAAGTTTCTCCTATGAACAAGAGTTCATTAGTGAAATGAAGCATCTTCATAGGTTACTGTCCTTGCTTGCTTACAGAAAATGGTGATTTCATGGATACAAAACTATTTTTAAAAAACCTTCCAGGCCAAAAAAATCTGAAGAGGATTGTACAGTAAATAGCAGATTTCATAATGATAAAGGAAGTTCATCTAATGTAGGGGTTGATGAGCCCAGATATATTCATTTTACAGTACATTATGACCAGTGAATACTGTGGACACAGCTGATAGCTGTAGAAAACATTCTGAATATTTATGTTTGCAAGAAACCCCCAACCTAGCCAAATCACAAGGGAAGAATTTATCACACTTATCATCAATATTTATCATTATCTTAAAAAAGAAATCTAAATTTTATCTACATATAATTCAAACAAATATGTACATTTAAAGACTCAAACATGTAATGAGTGCCTTGCAAACATGTAAACAAGATGTCTTTTCTGTTAATTATGACTAAGAAAATTTGGGCAATAACTTCTTTTTAATATTTTTAACATAAATTTTAACTTCTCCAAAAAGTTTCTATAAACTTATATAACAAAGTTCAGAGCTGAGCATGGTGGCACACTCCTGTAATCCTAGCACTTGGGAGGCTGAGGCAGGTGGGTTGTCACAAATTTGAGACCTGTATGATTCACAAAGTGAATTCAAGGCCAACCTTGAACGGCATAATGAGACCCCGCTTTAAAAAGATTCTGCCCCCCAAAAAAAGAGTTCAGACAGTGTTCTGGTTTTTTTGTTTGTTTTTCCTGAGGGTAGTTTATTGCTTTTTTGTTCCATGCTTTTGTGAAAATAAAGTAATTGCACTACATAGATCTTAGATTTTCTACCCAACAATATAATTTAAGACAAATACCTATTTTAAAATATTTTTTTCCTACCTGTTCTTTTCAAATCATGAGTCCACAGCTAAACCACTATGGTGATTCATCTTTTTTACCTCTCCTGAAATATTATTACACTTCTTAGCACACTAGCAATGTTATTCTTTTTCTTAATAGAAAAGCTTTCTGTAAGAGTGCCACTTACCCCTCCTGCCTTCAGCAACTTTCTTCTGAAGTCCTCTGTGGGGTTATTGAAAGTTAGCTTCTCACAACGGAGATGATTCACTGGTGGATGGCCTTCAAGATGCAGGAATAAGTCATAATCAAAGCGGACTTTCTTAGGTTCTTCCTAGAGGTTAGAAAAGTTTAAGAAAAAAGTTAGGTAAAACAGAAAATTTTAAAATGAAGTGTAATTCTTATAAGGAACAGAATAGATCTAGACATTGCTCCAGTGTCAAAATAGTGCAGGCCTTAATACTTCCCCCCTGGCCGCTATATGCAGCAGGAAAGCATACCATTTTTTCTTCTCTGGCTTGAATAAGCCCTGGCTTTGCTCCTACTCACTGCCCAACTACTATAAGCTGCATCCATGACTAGGTCTTCCTACTTCAGTATATGTTTGCAATTCCTCCATCATTTAGGTTTCAAAATTACTTGTTTACTCTACTGCCTGGTTAAAAATTCAATGGCTTCTAGTGGCCACTGGGATAAAAATCTAGTGTCATCTGAATGACATGGAAACACCTTGAGAATCTAGTTCTTAGCTTCTAATACCTCGACACCCTGTTGCCCATCTGCTGGTCTAGGACACTACCACGACTGCTTCTCAGGACCTTCCACTCTTGCTTTACATTATGACCTTCACTGCCTGCTTCCACCCTCCACTCCTGCTTTGCTCCTCACCCCTCTGTGGAGATTTCCCTTGAGAAGCATTCTCTAAACTCTACCCAAACTCCCTACCTGCCGCTCTGCTTTGCTGTGTGCACCTCGCTCTCATTCAGCCCTGTCACATCTCGGGATAACAGTCTTTTTGTTACCTCCATTTACCTTGATACATCATAAGACTACTGACAGTGGTAAAAATGTGGGAGTTGTCATTAGTCTCTTGATAGTTTTAGTGGCTGCCCACAGTAGAAATGCCCTATCTCTGAAATAGAGAATAGGGTTTTCCTATATACAGAACTAGTAGAAAAAACTGTATCTGTGCAAAAGAATATAATAATTAGAATTTCATGATGCCTAGGTTCAAAGCTAAGCCATTACTTTAGTTGGATGAACATTTACTCTTTTCTTCATATGAATTTTTATCCAAGGCAAAATGAAAATAACAATAACTAGTGAACACTGACCTTCACATTATTCCTCATGGCTATCTTTCTGACAGTTATGAGCTCTGTTTTATTGTTGTTTTGTTAACATAAGGTAGATAAAAGCATCTGAAGCCAGTTCTTTGGACTCAAATGTCTTAACATCTCAATCCACAGAATGCAGACATTATCTACTACAAATTTATGGTTTCTAGCTATTTTTCAAACTTCCCCCAAATTCTTGTCCTTATTCATTTCCTCACCCACCTCCTCCTACAGCCGACTGGCACATGCTCCTCCCCTCTCTTATCTGGTGTCATCTTCTGGGTTTCCTCACAGATAACTGGCCACTCCTTCTCAGTCTTTTCACGCCTATTTCTTCTTTGACCCTTACATGTTTTTTTTTTTAACATTTCTGCAAGGTTCCCCAGGAAGACGATACCCACTCACAGGGAATCTATTCTGCCAATGAAGTAACAGTGACTCCTTTGTCAGTATCTCCAACTCAGCTCTCACTAGGTGGAACATATACATGTTCCAAGATTGACCTACAGCAACATCAATTAAATTAATTAGCCTGCCTTTTCTTCCCATGCTCTAGCTCTCAACAACAGCAACGCTAATTGTTTTCCAAGGCTAAGACAAACAGAAGTCATCCTTCACTTTTTAGTCTCCCTCACTCCCCGCAGTAAAAACGTTGGCCAGTTCTGGTTAGCATCTCTCTAGGAACTCTCAGGTCGAAGCCCAGGTCTCCAGCCATCATGACCACTACTTTCACTTAGACCTTCACCTTCCCTCACCTGGTATTCTTCCTGTTTTTGAACTTCTCATTCTACTTCTCACAATGACAAGAGTGACTTTTTCCTAACATAAAAAAGCAGGTACCTTTCCACTAGTTAAAAAAGAATATTTAAAGGCTCACTATTTTCTATGGTACAATCCCATCTTCTTGGAATAAACAGAATTGTCTTTTACCACTTTTACTATATTTCCTTTCTTTTCTTATATACATTCTTCTCCACAATTCCTCAATACTTTCCATTATCTCATATTTTTTTGTCCAGTGGCAGTGAACGCATGTCATGTGTGCTGCAGCTGGCTATTTGTTATTACTAAAAGCTCTAAAAGTTTTCCATCACTGATTCTGTCTTTCACAGGTAGTGGTACCCATGCCTAAGATATTCTCCCCTCTAGAAAATTCTCTATTGCCTGGGTATTGCAAACACATTATTCGAGACCGAGCTTAAAGCATTAACACCCGTGGGAAGTCTTCTTACCCCTCCTGATACAGTCAAAATTAGATGTCTGTCTTACACCATTCCTCTATTAACATAATTTATCACACTGAATTATGAACATTTTTATCTTGTCTCTCCCATAAACAGCAAAATAATCAATGCAACTTTAGAAATCATTTAAAAGGAAGGCAGTTTTCTGCCTTGTAATTGGAAGTATAAATTAGGGAAGCCTTTTTGTTAAGACATTTTGGCAATATCTACCAACATACTAAATGCTAACGATCTTTGACCCAGTAATCCTATTCCTAAGAATCTCTTTGAATACAGATTCAAATGTTCATAGTAACATTCTTTATAATAGCAAAAAGTTTGAAGTGATCTGCATTATTATCTTCATGGTATACTATTCAGATATTTAAAACTTTTAACTTGAGAAGGCAACATTGCTAAATAAATTAAAGGCAAGTCACAAAAAAATATTACAGCATCATGCCCTTGCCAACCTCTACACTGACACATGTAAATGCATGGAGGAAAATTTAACAAAGCAAAATCTTCAAATATAGATGCAAATGCTCATAGTAGCATTCTTTATAATAGAACTGTGTTCTCACCAACTGGATGTCGTCTCTTAGTGGGAAGACATAAATATTATGCTAATCTATGCTCCTCAGAAAAGATTCTTCTTCAAAGTTCAAATAAGAAAGCATGTATCTGTTCTATATATAAAACCAATATGCTTCCAAGAAGTGGGAACCTGCTTTTGGCAACATCAAATTATCCCTCTCATGATGCAGAAGGTTCATCCTTGACATTTATTCATCTGCTCTTTCTGAGAACACACTGAGAGACGCACAGAATCCTTTCCAGCCTAAAGTGCCACAACCGATTATATTTTAGTGTGTCTATTGGTTTTGAGTGCTGAAACATACTCTCTCAGACATGCATAGAGAGAGAGACAGACAGAGACAGAGACAGAGAGAGAATAAATACACCAAGCTCAAGAGAAGTCCTGTCAACAGTGCCAGCTCAACTACATGAGGAAAGCTAAAGGCACTCTCATTAGAGAAAAGTGCAAGCTCAAAGTCCAAGACAGGACCAAGAGCAAGACAACATTCTTAATATGTGTATTAGGTTTCTCCCAACCACACAACTAACTCTTCAGGCTGCCGTCCCTCCTGTGCTAAGAAAACTCAATACTTTTTAATAAGCCATATCTATAATGGACATTCACTCTTCAAAATACAGAGGAGCAAACACCTATAACACAATGATAAATACTCAAAAGAAGTGAAATGAACATTCTGAAGCAAGGGCCCAGACTTACTAAATTTTTACCAAAGAATCACTTCAGTCACTAATGAATGAAGAAAAATACTCAGTTGCTAACTGAAACAAATCAGACCCAGAAGACGAGTTCTGCACGAGGCCACTTCTGTGAGGTATCTAAAGAGTCATGTTCATCAAATTTGCAAAATAAGGCTGAAATAGTAATTGCCAGGGGCTAGGGGAAGGGGAAAATGAGCAGTTGTTAATCAACAAGTGTAATGTGAATAAGCGCTACCAATCTGCTGCACAACACTGCGTCTACAGTCAACAGTAAGGTACATTTAAACTTGTTTAGTACAGCTCATTTCATGTTCTATCATGAAAGATTAAAATTTTTTTTAAAAAATCTAATTCAAAGATCCAAATTGAACACCAAAAAATTTCATTTCCAAGACCCTCTACGTAAATTAATAAAGGAGTGAAAAGCAAGATTTTTTAAGTTAAAAACTAACATCTATATGGCTTGATATGATGCAGCACACCTGTACTCCCAGTACTTGGGAGGCTGACACAGGAGGACTGTTGTGCATACAAGGCCAAGCAGAACTGCAAAGTGAAACTCTGTCTCAAAATGAATGAATGAATGAGAGAGAGAGACAGAGAGAGACAGAAAATACTATACCTGTGTACTCTCCATTGAGACTTAACAGATGTTAATTCTTGTATCACATTTTAATTTAAATATGGTTTATGTATATATAAGCTTCTCTACCTCTCCTCCCTGAGAAATAAAGCCTTTAATTCATTTGTAGTCATTTGAACAACAGTTTATACTATAAAAGTTTGTTTCTATAACACCATCTATTCATTTCAGTGCTTTCAAAAAATACACATAAATAATATCAAATTGTGAAACTTCCTCCAACACCTAGGTCAGCAACACTGCTTCAACATATTCACTAGGTACTGTTGGTATTGTTGTTACACTATCACTAACCAATCCACATCTCTACATATTGCTAATTAGGCCATCTTTTAGGTTATAGACACCGAAATACATCTGTCTCACTGCTCACATGTGAAAACAACAATCATTAAACATAGAATCTTATAGAAAATGTGAAACTAGAAAATACAAATAAACAACTTGGGTACTAAACATAAAAATCTACTTAATAGTGCTCAGTCTGTACCTATTTGGTAGTGGCCCCCAAAGCAATAACAGTGCTCCTCCATTCTATGTGCCTCTTGTTGCATATGTAAAAAAGTAAAACCTCTGATAAAGTTTGTGTGTCTTACAGACATAAAAGCAACTACCCTGTTGCCTTCACTATAATTTGCTTTTTACTTTGTTCTATTACTTTCAAGGCTTACATGTGTGTGCACTGCTACCTGCTGTCTCTGCATCTTTCATTTTTCTCTTTTTAATCTGGTATATGGAAAGTTTCTTGTTATTTTTGCCAAGTAAGAAAGACGGGGGATAAAAAAGTAGTAAAGTCATAAAATAAGTTTCTCTGCTCTACTGAAAACTTATAAAAATGACCAGAAAAGTTAAATCAAAAAGAGAAAAAGAAACACACTTTAGCATTATTTCCAAACTGAAGTGCAATGCAAAATTAACAGGATGGTGGGGCTGGGGATTTAGCTCAGCGGCATAAGCACCTGCCTTGCAAGCAGGCAGTCGTGAGTTCGATCCCTGGTACCGATAAAAAAAAAAAAGAAAAGAAAAAGACAAAATTAACAGGATGAAAGAGCAGTCTACCCATCACTACATTATTCAGAAGAGTTTAGAGTTGCCTTTTCCACCTTTTCCTTGAGACAAAACTTTTTTAGATTATAGCCTAGATTCTTCCTACAACTCCCAAAACAAAAGTTAATAACTGGACAGGAGGATGTGACTGAAAAAGTCATCATGTGATCTTCATTAATTAAACTCCCAAGATATTAAAAGGTGGTAGAGTAAAGGAAAGGGTAAGTTTTGAATTTTTTCTCATAAACATGACCATTTAAAAACACACTGTAAAATGGGAAATGGAACTGAATAGTCATTTTTCAAAAAACATATATAAATGTACAGTAAGTATATAAAAAATGTTCATCAGAAAATGCCACTCAAAATCAAAATGAGATACTGAACCACTTCACACCAGCTAGGATAACTATAATAAAAAAGAAAAGTAGAAAAGAAAAAGTATTGGAAAAATTGGAACCTTCATACACTGCTAGTGAGAATATAAAAATAACCACTATGGAAACTAGTTTAGCAGTTCCTCAATAAATTAAACCTGGAATTATTATGTGGCTGAACAATTCTACCTAGGTGTACACTCTCTAGGTGAAAACTCTCATCCATAAAACCCTTGTAAATGAATACTCACACCAGCATTATTTATAAGTGGGAACATGTCACATGGCTATCAACTTATAAATGAAAAACATTTATAAAATGAAATACTGTTCAGCCATAAAAATGAGTAAGTAGGGGCTGGGGATTTAGCTCAGCGGCATAAGCACTTGCCTGGCAAGTGCAAGGTCGTGAGTTCGATCCCGGTATCACAAAAAAAAAAAAAAAAAAAAAAAAAGTACTGATATATTGTATAACATGGATGACTATTACCTTGTAAAAATTCTTATAAACTTACTAAATGAAATAACTCATGCAAAGTGCTCAAAGACAAAATACTGTAAGCACATAAACATTCATGCAGAAATAAGCTACTGTCATATGTGTTCCCAAAATACGAATATAATGTGCATATTTAGCTGATGTTATACACAGTGGTAACAAAAATACCAAAAAAAATGAATATAAGAAAATCCCAGTTAACAGAGTGGAAAGTATGAAGAAACATGGTATAGTAGGAATGTGGTACATGAGAAGATGGGAGCAGAAAGAAAAATTATGAAACACAAAGCCATCTTTCCATCCATGCATTCCCACTTCACAGCCCAGACCCTGTAAACGTTGGTGGCCTGCAGTCCACTCTGAGTTTGGGTACTGATGCTCATGGACAACATTTCATGGAGCACTGGCTGGGATAACATGAAGTTCTATTGTTCAGTTCCTTTCTTTAAGTGAATTATTTCATTTGGTGGTACATTTTAGAAACTATGATTTTTGGAGGTGAAAAGTAAAGAATAGCACAATTAAAAATACTGTTGGGTGTTTACTAATATGAGGCGCTGCTCTAAATACTTTTTATAAAATCATTTTATCTAACCCTACTAACCACTCTATAAGGTACTCCTATCGCATTTTGTAAGAAATAAGCCCCACAGAGGTTCAGCAGTTTCCCCAATATTGCAGTCTTTGTACTCTGCCACACATATGCTCTTGAAAACTTTTCAATCCAGTAGAATCTATAATAACTCAAGTTGAAATAATTCTATATAAATGTCAATATTTGTATTACCTAAAGATAAGGTAAGATCATTACTTGTAAGCCTCAATATTTCTAGAAATATCAAAACGAATAAAGGAACATTTCACTGAAAATGCTTTCTTTTACAAATGTGTATTGTTGTTTGTCTAAATGGCAATCATTCTTCCTTTAAAAGGAAAGTTTAACACGCCTGTAATCCCAGCAATTAGGAGGCTGAGCAGGAAGATCATTACAAGTTCAAGACCAGCCTGGACTACAAAATGAGTGTAAGACCACCCTTACCTGCATAGTGAGACCCCGTTTCAAAAAGACCAAAATACCAATAATAATATTAATAATAATTTTTAAAGGACAGTTTAATATCATATAAATTATATGTAATTCAAATTATCTTTTTACAGTCACTCGCTGTATTCCTAATGGTTACAATAGCCAAAATTCCAAGAAGACAAATTTAACTTTCATTTTAAAACCATCTAGTGTTAGAAGTATTATGAATCATAAGTATTTTAAACAACATTTGAGTAATGAAGGATCTCCTGAATGATAAAGGGGTAAAGATTACATACCTTGTTTTTAAAATAAACCTCAATTGGCAAAATGAAACCAGCATACCCAGATTCTTCTACTTTGTAAGGTGGATCTTTGCACACTGCAACATTAAAAAAGAAAATAGGAAAGATGAGAATAGATTTTTTTTAAAACTTCTTTTTTTTCTCTTAAAGAAAGGTATCCCATTCTATCATACAGATCACTCCCAATTTTCACAGCCCTTTGGTAACCCCAAAACTGAGTCTCTAATCTATTCTTTATTTCTTCTCTTGAATCAATAATAATAATTTAGCCTATCTAAAACAAAAAATTTTAAGTTACTTATTGAAATTCTGAGCATACCTTATTGCAGTCATCCGTGTTATTAATGATTGGACATCAGTTATTATCACCTACTCTAAAGCTTTAGAGAAACTGCAGATAGCTCCTATACCTAAAGCTTGTAGAGAACTTCAATTTTACTAACAAAATTGCTATCTAAGTTTAGGCTTTGATGCAAATCAGGCCCCACCTAAACTCCCCACTTATTTATGTTCTAATTTCTATCTCATCCTCTATTGTCTGTTAATTTTACCGATGCCCATCAAGACTTATTACCCTCATCTCCCCCACCACAAAAAATGGCAATTGAAAGTCTAATAGACATATATACAAACACTTTAAAATACAATCACATCACAAGAATACAAAAGAAACAATAGGACTTCTATATTTCATATGAAATTAGTAGGAAGCGAAACTATTATGCAATCTCTGAGGAATAAGAATGCCTAGGAAACTAAGATTTTACCCTCCTCTGAAGTTCCCATTAAACCAAAGTCAATCAAAAGCGAACTGAAATTATCCTGCTTAAGACCACATGTTCATGATTTCACAGAGTAAAGCTGTATAAGCTGAATATCAAGGTTACATACTCTCAAAGCCCCAGTTCCTCTTTGGCAACCCAAACTGACCTTGCCAAGCTTTCTGCATTTGCACTTACCACAAACTCTGGGTTTCATTCAAACAGAGCCACACCCACCACATCCCATGCTGAGCTTTTCCCACCTTGACCTTGTCCCTCTATGGTTCATTCTATCCATCATAACCCTTTGCTCATTTAAATTCCAGTTTGTAGGCCAAGAAGTACTAGCATCTCATCTCCTTTGAGCCTCCCCAAGCATTAACTGTCTGAATAGGTGCTTCCACATAGCACATCTGGCTTCCAACCTATGATGCACCCCAAACTCCAGGCTACCTCTGCGAAGTTACCTCACCTCTTTAAAACTTGGGTTCCTTTTCTACATAATGTGAAGATTAAGTGGGGCAACTCTTACAGACTGTTTGTGCCCACCCCCATCCATACATGTTTTAACAACCTAACCTCTAACAGCAACAGCACAAAGTGAGGCTTTAAGGAGGTGACTAGGTTGTAAGGGTGCAGTGCTCATAAATAGGTTTATTATCCTTATGTAGTGGTTGGTTGATTGTGTCAACTTGAGATATTTGTAAGTTTAACTAAATTGGCTTAGCAATTCTATACCCTAGGGTGGCTCATCGCCTTGATGGTATAAAAGGAAAGAGGGAAGGAAAAAGAGATTCCGTTTTGAGGAGCTCCAGTCTCGGCCTTTGGCTTGGATGTTGTCTCCTGGCTTCCAGCGCAGTCTCTTCACCTTCTGCCTTGGAACCTTCAGCCTTCCATTGCACACCCGTAGGCCTGCTGGTGGGGCCTTGCACAGGACACTGCAGTGAACTCCAGACCTTGGATCGAATCCTTGGGCCTCCAGAATGCAGGCACCCTCCACATGCTTCCTCATCCAACTCTGTGACTGACCACGGTAAGACAATCTTGTAATCTCCTCTATATTTGTATTTCTTGTGTTACATCTGTTTCTGTAGTAAAATTCTGACTAATACAACTTATTAAAGCTCGTTCACCTCTTTCTTTATATGAAAACACAGCAAGATGGCAGCCATCTGCAATCTTAAAGGGGACTCTCCCCAAAATGTAACCTTCTCATTACCCTGATCTTCGACTTCCAGCCGCCAAAACTGTGAGAAATATGTTTCTATCATGTGTATGCCACACAGTCTATGAGGCTTTTCTATAGAAGTCTGAATGGAATAAGAGAGTGATACAGCCCAGGGACACATGTAGAAATGTGGTGCATGAGACAGAAAATCTAACCCTAACATACCTATTTGCCATGTAACTTCTTCAAATAAAAATAAAAAGGAGGCAGCAAGTAGAGATACCTGGACTGATCAGAACACTTATGTCCATAGCTCAGAGCTAGAGATTGTCTAGACAGCCTATATTTCCTGTCCCTTTAGGAAAGGAAACATATACCTGTAAGCATGGCTGCAAGGAAACTATATGATGAAAACTACATATTCACATATACACAATGATATTGATAATGTACATGAAAACTGGCTTTAAATACCACAAATGCAAATATGGCTTATAAAGGGGTATCCTAAAGGCAAGATTCTGAGATCTGATTGTCCCCTTTAGCGTGCTTTAGGAAAATTTCCGCAAGTTGACATCGGAAAAAGCAATTTAAAAATGAGACATCTTGTTTGACTTTATAGTTATTTTTTTTACAAAAAAAAAATAATAACAGACTAGCTTCCATCTTGAATCCACTGACCAACTGCCAGCCTGTCATGAATATTCAAATACTCTGAACACAAAGGTAGGGACACAACTAAACCCACTGAGCAGCCCCACACTACCCCACAGCCCCCAAGGGTGGCTGCTGTTGTGCCCATGGCATTTCCGGGCTGGTCAGTCCTTTAGAACAATGTCCACATTAGTTGAGATTAATCATGCCAATGTCATTTGAAGGAGGCTTATTTTGTGGCTGCTGTACAGGGCAGAGAACTTATAGCTGCTCCTGTAAACACCCTTTGGTATAATTTATTTTCTCTATTCTGCATGCAAATTGCTCCCATATAGGAAACAGTTGTTAATGAGTACATCTTATAATTGAAGGTCTTGGACTTTTTTTCCTACTCCCCTAAAGGAAATGACCTGCTATGTATTAAATATTTTATAGGAGTCTGATTTTATAGGAACATGTTTTCCAATTCATACCTCAATTATTTTAAATGTAATGTTTTTATCAATAACAATGAACAATGTCTCTAAAGCAACTAGACTTCTGAAATAGAATAGAAACTTTTTATATATAATAAACATGCCAGAAAATCCATAGAAATGTCAGTAACAACAGCTTTAATCTGAAAAAAGTCAAATTAGGGGATTAAGTTTGATTCTTAAAACTGTGTCTACTAAATTAAAATCCGGCCTTGATGTTAGCTGTTTCAGAATGTCTCACTTGTTCTTCCACACGTCTTTAGTTGGACTTAACAAGTAGGAAGATCCCATAAATCACCTCTCAGATTACCCCAGAAGTCCTGAGTCACACAGGTTAGCAACCAAATGATTATTCAAATCTGTAATTCCCTCACTAATGTTGAGCCAGAAAACAGGTTCTCAAATACCTGCTGCAATGAGTTTTTGAATGTTTATGCTACTTTTCCCTAAGTGGGCATAGTCAAAGTCATTACCTTCCCACCCACAGCAGTGAGTTGACATTAGCCAGTCAAGCTCTTTTCTAAACTCCCCATAAGCAACATAAACTTAAAAAAAATTGGTACAGTGATAAAAAAAAGCATCGTCACAGAGGAATCTTCTCTTGAAAGCTAAGTACCCAATGTGAAACTAGTTATAATTCTGACAGTAACACATTTGAGGCAATACATTAACCAGTTGGGTCAGAAGATCTCTAAGGTCATTTTGAAACTAACATTCTATACTCAAAGAATGTACTCTCTCTCTTCTTGTCTTCTAAATTACAGCCACCCATGTACTGAAAGGTTCTAACTGGGACACATTTCAAAATACTCTCTGTTCAAGTAATCACATGTACCATGTAAATTTGTCAGAACACAATATTCAAAATTCATACTGTCGGGAACAGACCAAAGTTACTATAAAAATAAATAATTGAACTTTTCTTCCAATAGGCACAATATAGCCCCAAATATGGTATATAATACATGGCAAGATAATAACTATACATTGACCATTAACCTGTCTAATCCTGACGTTTAAAAAGATGTACAAAGAGAACAGAAACATATAAAGGGAAAAGGTTACAATTTGGTTAACCCAGAGTAAGTCAAATACTTATTTATTAATAAGTAAATCCTTACTTAATGACATTTTCCATATTCTCCTTTAGGAGCAAAATGTCTGCAAAAGAGCCATGCTTGATATAGAGAAATAAATGTTCCTCAGAGAAAAAAATAAATCCATGCTAAAACAATAAATTACACATACAAAAATTAACAGTACTCCTTCTGCCACAAAACACGAAGTCTTTTAGCAAATCTATAAGACTCTCATTTTTAAAAAAATAACAGGAAACTATTTTTCCTTAATTCTCCTGAAAAGAGCTAATAGATTTATCTCTAGAGTACCCCTTGACAATTTGTGTCCTTGGAAACTATGATTTATGCCCACCTGAATACTTTTATAAATAATATGGTCCAGTTGCCCATTGATAATTATTGGTTTTACTCTATTTATTGCCTAGAGTCCTTTGCTATTACCACAGCTTGTGCCAATTGTCCTGTTCAGTTCAAGCATTTTTTGGGACTCCTTCCCTCCTTACCTCAGTTCCACCACATCAGAGCCTTAGGATGGGAAAAACAGGGTCCTGCACAGCCCTCCCAAAGGACTCCGCCCCCACATCTGGGAGTCTAGGCCATGTCTAGAAGTCTTAGCATCAGAGATAGGTCATCACTGAGCATGGAAGAAGTCTGTATACTCACACCATTTCGAAACAAACAAAAATCAACAATTAGGTTTTGTTTTTCTTTTCATGCACACACACACACAAATTCTCCATCCCTTCTATTCAGCTCATTTCTAAACAGTAAAAATGTTTCCTATATTTTATTACTTCCTTCATTTCCCTTCAAAGTGATTAAAACAACAACAGTAAATTTTGAGTTATACTGTTTGTTTTTATCTAGTTGATTTTTTAAATTCACATGCAATTCTAAAAATCTAATTGCTTCCTATGTAATAAATAATTGTATCAACAC